AAATTAGAGTGGATTCTTCCTATGCTGTCCCTTGAATGTGGCATCCATCTGTCATTCAACCTTCGCTCATACCATTCCAAGCTCAGGCTTCATCTCCTACACAACGCATTCCAAAACCACACAAGCCAATGCTGATATTTTTCTCAAATACTGTTAGGGAATATTATCTGGTGCAGTACATTGTATACAACACTCTTTGGTATTTATGTTTTCCTGAACTGAACACAACTTGTCCCAACTAGACAATACAATTAACATCAAAGAGCATGCCAACTTCTTGATTCATGCCCAGTGAGGAAAGCATTTTTCAGGTTACTGGTACTCAATGTACTGACAGAATAAAATGTAATGTACAGCTGAGCTACATCTTGATGCAGAGCTGAAAGTGACAGATGCTGCTGGTCAACAATGGCAGGTATCCTTAAAGGAGTAGGTGACACAGTGGCACAGCGCCTACTCTCTCTGGGAATACCAAAAAAAAAAAAAACGTTTCTCATGGAGAGAGAACTGCACTCTACAGTACTTACATCAGGCAGCAGCAGCTATCCTCCAACTCCTGGAACAAGAGAATGAGGGAACATGCAGCCTGCTTTTAGGGTAGATGTCGAAACCAACGCCCTGGAAGTATAGCACTCAAAGGTCACACAAAAATTCAGTGGCAGAACCTGCACTGACACCCAGGTTTCCTGCCTCCCAGTCAAGAAGCCTTTACTACATCAAACTGCTTCTTTCATCAGGCATCTGAAAATAAATTACCACAAACATGCCAATCACTGGAAAACCCCAGATATACCTATGTCTTTCACAAAAATGTCACTCAAAGGTATTAGAAGTTCAGAGAAGAAACTGGGGAAGGTAAATGCTTTTCTGGAGTCCTCTTCCTCTACCCACCCTTGACTGTTAAGTGTTCCCAGGTCCTCCCCCAGCCCGTTTTTCATTCCACACCCTCCTTTGGTGCTTGCATGCACAGCCTATAGTTTCAACCAGCATTTAACAGACTTAAGAATTCCCAAATTGAAATTTCCCAATCAGATTTTTTTTTTTTTTTTAGCTCTCAATATGTGTATTCAACTGTACTTTAGACATCTCCACCTATGGTCACCTTAAAATAAACTCGGCCTCATAAGGTCATCATTTCCACCCTCCCCTTTAGCCAACCAGCACCCCCAGCTTAGTCACCCTCTCACCTCAGTGAACAGCACCTCCTAGCCAGAAACCAGGGTCACAGTGGGTTTCTTTCATTTCTCTTATCAAGTCTTGTCAATTCTCTCTCCTAAATACGGTAGTTCTTAAACCCCCACCCAAATCATCCTCCATACTAGGGATCTGCAAAGCTTTCTGACCATTCACCTTTATCGCTAAAAAAATTCTTAGCATACATGTACCCAAAATATACATAATTTAAAAATTCAAATACATGTACTTGTACAGCAATATAGTAAGATATAAATCATAATCAAAATTTTAAACTTTAAAGTGATGAGATTAACAAACATAATAGTAGACCTAAGATTTTCTTCCTATACTTCAGTGAGCCTTTTTACGCATCCCTGGGAATTAGGAATCTGCGCTTTGAAATTGTATGTAATGAGATTGGTCCTATAAGAAATATATACATATATATGCATGTGTATATACGTGTTTACATACTTATATATCTGTATCTGAGGCAACTTCTTTTCTCATACATACATTTCATAAGGTGATATGCACATGCTTAAACATATTGCTAAATACAGTTAACTCTATCTTCTAAAGCCACAAACCAAACAGCAAGTTTAAAGTTAGCTGACCTCTAAAAACCCACAGCCACTTTTAAAACAATAACAAATTTACAAAGTATAGTTTGGCTCCTTTTGTACACAGCTCCTGAAAGAAACATTTCTTCCACCTACTAATAGACGTATTTGAAGGCTGCTAATAATCTGACTTTTAAGGACTGTACCCCCTTTAACTTGGGTACATACCATAATATTCTTTCAGTTTTCCACAGCTATAGACACCCCTAGCATAATTCTTCAGCATCCAGAAGACGAATGTACCTTTCTGTATCTTAACCTCTCTACTCCATACCTCCCACCTCTGAAACAACCAGCCAAACTCTCAGAATCTAAAACCAAGTCAGAGTAAACACTAATACAATACAGATGTTTGCATGTTTACCTGATATAATCCTCTAGGATTCCCCCCTACAACCAAACAGATCCTAACTCTCTCGTAGAGTGAAGAAATCTGCTAAAATCTAACTAACAGAAGTCCAAATGAATCCTTTCAGATATATGCAGCTTGTTCATATTCAGAAAGTTACATCCTTGGACCTCAAAAGTTCTCTGAAACTTTTACCAGTTACAAGACGTTTCAGCTTATCACACTAGCAATATAGTTAAGAGCAAACCAGAGCACCTACAGAATATTAATATTTTTTCCAGATAGAACATTATACTAGTCTCCGCTATAAGCCACAACTTACTTAGGAAGAAGCCAAACAACAAAGACATTACAATCAGTGGCAAGCACTCTTAGGAAAACTGGCACCATGTTGTTTGACTGCAAAATGTGACCAGATGTCCCCACTGTCACTCCCAAAGTTAGGAAGTGAACACCAATGTAGAATTACATTTTCATTTGTAATGGTAATTTGGGGCTGATTTAAATGATACTGACCAAAGCTAAGAAGAAAGCTGTCTAATTACTAAATCTAGTGGCTTTCAGAATTGTTGATTCCATACTTTTCATGTAGAGAATGTTGAGTGAGGGTAACAAAAAATAATTTCAATATAGACCTTCACATGGTTAAAAAAGAAGTCACAATCATTGTAGGTCTAGGTCTGAAGTCAACATAGACGCATTAAACAGTCTATTTGCTTTCTGTTTACAGAACTAAAGTATTATCCACATTCTTTGTCCTTTTAACCAGCATTCTAATAACATCTTCCACCTTCATACTCAATCTTTGGATAAGTAAAATGGCTTTCTCCCCAAATGCCTGTAGGAAAACACCAAACTTTTTTATTTAACACTTCACCATTTTCAACCACGTGTGTAATATTAATCAATGAGACAACATTATTTAAAAATATAAGAATTACAGTGAGACTCTAAGTCCTGACCCCTCTGGGCCTTGGTGTCCACAAATGAACAGTTAACTGCCAACTAAAGTTCTTAATCATTTCTGAAAGTGGTCTATTACATAGCGTATTTTTAAGGGCATACGTGGTTTAAGAAAGATGTCTAACCTAAATTCCTCTAGCATGTTATTTTTGTACCATCAAAAATACAATTAAAAAAATAAGAACCTAAGAGCCAGGCTTAGGAACTCACACCTGTAATCCCAGCACTTTGGGAGCTCAAGGAGAGAGGACTGCTTGAGTTTGGGGCCAGCCTGGGCAGCATAGTAAGATCCTGTCTCTACAAAAAATTTTAAAAGGGTGCAGGCGCCTGTAATCCCAGCTACTAAGGAGGCTGAGGTGGGAGAGTAACTTAAGCCTGGGAGGTTGAGGCTGCGGTGAGCTGTGATGCACCTCTGCACTCCAGCCTGGGCGACAGAGACCCGGTCTCAAAACAAAACAAAATAACCTAGTAATTCTCCCCACCTGTTATCCATGTGGCATGTTGGTCCAGAGAAATTACTAATGATGTTACCAATTACCTTCTGAGATATTTTTTAACATCTTTTTATTATAAAGAAAGGGCTGAAAAGGAGTCAGTATTCATTAAGCATCTACTCTAAGTGTCTCGCATTTTGCATTTGATTTTCACAACTAGACTATAGTTAGGAAAGTTACTTGTGGTTTAAACGTGGACTCTGGAGCTAGACCCCATGCCTTCTCCAGGAGCTCCTGATGACCACAGGCAACTTACTTTTGCTCCCTGTGCTTCAGTTTCTCACTCAGAAAATGAGAATAAAAACAGTACCGACCTCATTAGAGTGGTTCCAGAATTAAATAATACATGTAAAATTCCTAGACCTAAACTTGGCCCTCATTGTCATTATTATAAAAATGAATAATTTAGTGTAGATATTATTGTTCCTATTTCACAGACAAGGAAACGGAAGCTGAGTGCAACTTACTAATCATACAAATGAGTGCAAAGTTTTTGACTCAAAACAACGAATTTCACGAAATAAAAGTTGCTTAGAGTAGGAGTCTCATAAATTCAATTTATGAAGCCTAAGAAATGACGTGAGGTAAAATGATACTAGACACAGGCCGGCTTTCAGGCTCGCGGACGGGGTCTGAGCGCGGGTGACCGTGGTCCTGCGTCCTGGTCCCGGGGTGCCCGGCAGAGGCTGGCGTCTCTGACTGCCGGGCACTCGCGTTTATAAACACGGGGAGGTGGACGGCACTGCCGCCACCACGCCTCTGGTCCCCAGCGGCTACGCGAGGCCACTTTCTGACCCGGCTCCCACCTCCCCCGCCCGCGGCGCTGGCCTCAAGGCTGCCTCCCGGCAGCGGGAGGACACCAGACCAGTCCCCGCCGCGGGCGCGGACAACCGACTCGACGCTGCTCCAAGGACGGCAGCCAGCGAGGGAGCGGGAGACAAAGGCACAGGACCCGTCCAGGGACGCGCCGAGTCCCAAACGCCGAGCCCCAGGAGACCTCGCTGGCTCCACCTGCGCTCGCCCAGCCGGGTGGGAGACTGCAGGTGTCAGGGGCCGCTCGAGCCCACTGCCCCGCAGCTCCCGCAGCCCCGACGTGACAGCGCCCAAGCCATCTACCCCCGCGCTCGGAACGCGGCCGGGTAGGCTCCGCGCCCGGGGACTACCAGCGCCCGCGACTCGAGGCGGGTGGAAGAGCCAGGCGGGTGGCAGAGCGCGGACTTCCTCCCCGGCGAGCCTGGAATCCCACCCCAGCCCCCACCCGCCGGCGGCCGCCCCCGCCCCCACGCCCGGCACAAAGGTCCCGGCGCGGCCCAGCAGGCGGCCCAAAATGCGGCGGCGCACCAGATCCCTGAGGCCGCGGCCCACGACCCCACGCCCGAGGGCCCCGGCCCCTACCTTCCCCGCGCGGCGTCCGAGCCCGGGCGCGGTGGGTTCGGGCCTGCTGCTCCGCGGCTCCCGCTCGGCCTCTCTCGCGGGCTGGCGGGGCCTCCCAGGTCTCGGGCGCGGCGGGCGGCGGCGGCTCCTCCCCCTCAGGGGCGGGAGGAGGGGACTCGGCGGCCCTGAGCCGCCCCCCGGCAGGAAACTAGCCGCGGCCCCGCCTTCTCTGCGCGTCCGATCCCGCTCCCGAGGCCGCAGCCGCCGCCCGCTCCCTCCGGAAACGCATTCCTCTCCCGCCGCGTCAGCCGGGCCCGGGGCGAGGAGGAGGCAGGAAGCGCTGCCGGGACAAAGGAACCGGCCCGCACGGGAGCGCGCCTTGGGGGAGACTGTGGAGGGCGGGGCAGAGACGCCGCAGAGGCCGTCCCGCGCCTCAGTTTCCTCCTCTGTGAAGGGCGTGAGGGGTCGGGTGCGCCCTAGAGCCCCGCGCGTTCCTGGCGTCGCCTCCTGAGCCAGTGTTTTTTGGTTCCGCTTCCTGGGAGCCGCGCGTCCGACCTCCCTTCCCGTTTGTCCACTGATGTCTCGTTTTGAGCCTGTGAGATCCTGCACCCAGGAAGCCCCCCCTTCCGTCCCAAGGCAAATCGGCACCTGAGCCCCGGACCCTGCAGGGCTCCATGGGGGCAAAAACAACGTGGTCCTTCTGGAAGGGAACTGGCTAAGCCAGGACTGCTTTCCTGGGGTGAGAATGTGCTTGCGTGTGTCTAAGAAAAAGGTGAAGACTTGGGGAAGCCCATGGGTGCCACGAAGGGTGGGGATGGGGAACGTTTTAGAAAATGGTGAGTTGTGGGCTGCTTTTGATAGGTTTATCTGAAAGTCCATTTATTGGGGAACAGGGATGAGAAAGAAAAGTTTCATCCTGAGGTGTATAGTTTCTGTTTCTCCTCACTTTTTTTTTTTTTAAACACTTGGAGATGGGGGCTGGAAACAACGTTTGAAAGAGAAGGAAACATTCATAATGAGAATGGCTGGGCACATATCGATTGGATGATTGAAGTTCCTACCAGCCAACATCATACTGAAACCCCGTAATTCAGTATGTGCTGCTGGCAAGCTGCTATCCTGGTAGCAGAAAATGTTGTGGGCTTTACTTAGTAAGCTGCTGCACCCTGTTAGAAAAAGAGCTCAAAATTTATCAGATTTATTAAACTGAGAAGTAGTGTTTCTCTTGTAGGAGATTAGGGGCTGGGACACCCATTTGGCTGCTGCCAATCCAAAATATAAGAGAAAATGAAGCAATAACATCTTTCTAGAAAATTTGCACATTACTTACCAGCAAAATCTATTGGTTAGCCAATCTCTGAAGACCTCTAGAAAATAATCACTATTTTTCCCACTTAATGGATGTTCAAGCTTAAGAGACTAAATGATGTTCCTATAATATATCAATGATCAAACTGCCATTAGAACTCAACATTCTTGAATTTTAAAGGTATCGGTTTTACCATTGTTTGGAATTCATCAGAATTGGCCCAGTCTCAGCACAGAAAACTGTATAGTACAAAAGCATAATGGGTCCATGCCTGATTTGTACTACATTTCCCAGAATTGTTTCACCTGTGTGTGACTAGAGGAGGCACTGGCTAATCCTTGCTGCAAGAACATTATGAGGTTTACATATGCACAACTCTAAATTAGTTCCTCAAGGGCAATTTGCTGATCTTTTTAACACCACTGTCAAGCACTGTTGCAAGGACACATAATAGGGGCTCAGATAATATCTGATAAATGAATAAATGGGTCCTTTTGCTCTCCTGGGACCAAGCTAGAGCACCTGACTAAACTGATGTGTGAGGTAGCAATTTGTGTACAGAAGTCATGAATTTTGAGGAAAATGAAATTTTGTTCTCTAAGAAAAGCAGTGATTGGTCAAGAGTATGAGTCTACTTGTGATTTCATACGAATAATGGGTGGACAGTGAGTTAACTATAAAATTTATGAGTACTCTAGGCAAAGGTTGGTCAGCATACATACTAAACAGGAAATCCTGGTAAGTAGCAATAGTGCAAGCCACATTGCTAGTGCATATCATATTAGGTTGGTGCAAGGTCTACCAGATGTCTCTTGCCTTCCCATGTGTAAGGTTGACCAGATAGTTCTCACCTTTCCATGTCTGAGGTCAACTACAGGGCTCCTGCCTTCCCATGTCTAAGGTTGACCAGATGGCTGCATGCACCAACCTAATAGAACATCATTAGTATGTTGAATTCAAGACAAATCAATGCTTTACCTACATTGTCTCTCAATTATTATCAATTGTCTTCTATCTCTTAAGTCATTATTATAACAAATAATTAAAGTTGGTGTTTCCTTTAGTTTTGTCACTGGTGATAGTACTATATGCTCTTCAGAATGTGTCTCTATTCATGTACCATTTTCCAAAGTAAAATTTCAAAGTTGCTCAGCAAGAAAGATGTCACTGGACACCCACCCCTTTTCACTCTCGAAAGTATGTTCTAGTATAGATGATAAATTATATGATCACTCTATAAATAAGAGTATCCAGACAATAAGGAATAAGAAGAATAATTTTAGAAATTCAAAGAGGATTCATAAGGATATATTGCAAATCAGGTTCAGGTTTATAGGTGAAAACTAATTTCAACATTGATAATAGTAAAGGAAAATGTGAGTTGCAGCGTGGGAGTGAGTATGAAGATATAGGCAGTTGCTTTGTGAAGAAAATGCCCTACTGGGAGATTTTATTAAGAAAAAAATCTTGACAGTACCCTGGCTGATCAATGGGACTTGGATTTTAAATGTCATTGTATAATAAATATATGTGATGGCTTTGGAGCAAATTGATTGAACAGTCCTTAGAAAAATAGCCTTCAGCTGATTTTTCTAAGGACTGTTTCTATAGACTAACCTAGATATATTTTTCTCATCTGTTACTTCCAGTTACTTTGAATATAACTCCTTCTTTAAACATTAAAAAAAGAAAAAGATAAATGGATAGGGATGGAAGGAATAGAGGTCTTTGATAACATCCTACAATACTAACATAGAAGTGCTTCTGAATCATTAATAACTCCATTCCTTTACCTGAGAAACTAAAATAACTCTTAAAATGCAAATCTGCTACTCAGGAGGCTGAGGCGGGAAGATTGCTGGAGACCAGAAGTTCAAGACCAGACTGAGCAACATAGTGAGACGCCCCCCCCCCCCGCACCCACGACACCAGCCCCAGCTTAAAAATAAAGAATAAAATTAGCCAGGTGTGGTGGTGCATATGTGTAGTCCCAGCTGCTTAGGAGGCTGAGGTGGGAGGATCACTTGAGTTCAGGAGCTATGATCATGCCACCGTAGTCCAGCCTGGGCAACACAGTGAGACCCATATCTAAAAATGTGTGAATCTGTGTGTATTGGTGTAAAGCAGCCCTAGGAATTATTGACATTTTGAAAAACAAGAAGGGGTGAGACAGTCCTGCCAGTTCCTCCTTTTTGAGTCTCCAAATGTATAAATAACATGCAAATAGTCATATAATGTAGAGAAACTGGAAGAGTATTGAATTTGCAACTTTTTTTTTTTTTTTGCTTGAGGGCTTCAATTTAGTGAACACTCCTCAATACTCATAATAGAGTATTGCCAGAGGAACTGTAAAAAAATTAAGTTTGTCATCAGGCAACCAGCAACTCACTAGGAATGGCATGTGTCAGTGTATCCACCAGCCTGTACTGAGGCTTCATTTCTTTGCTTAGTTGAAAGTAAGGTAGAAAATGGCACAACAGTCTGGCCTGATTTGCAACGTGTCCCTTAAAGCTTAGGCTAGCCATTCAATCTCTTCCTCTTCTAGGTTGCTAACAGTGGCTAGACTATGGCTTTGAATATGGGTCACAGATGAGTAAGGCTTTCTCAGCTGGTTCTGCTTCCTGTTCTCCATATATAGCGGCCCCATCTTTTCCTTTGTGAGTCCACACAGCATTGCCTCCAATGGGTGTGAGCATTCCTTACCAGCATTCAGATGCTGAACATTTTTAACAGCCTACAAGGAACAGTGTTTTAGGAGAGCTCTTTTCAAACACTGAGTTTCTTCAGCTGTGGAAGGGAATGCGCCTTCCCACATAAGAATTTAAAAAAATGTCTAATATAAGCAATTGAATAGCACTGGAGTTATTTTTAGGAACCAGGGTCACTCTCTACAGGAAATGATTGCGTTGCCAATGCATTACAGCCAGTGACTATAAAAAATACTATTTGTTTCCTCATTTAACTGCTTTGGAGCATCTTGAGAAAAGTTAGCATTTGCAATTTTAAGTTAGGAACAGCTCAATTTCAGGCCAGATTCATTAAAAAGTAGGAAGGATAGCTTTCACAAAAAAAAGACATTTGGGGTAAGTAAGAACACCTCCCCTGCACCTCCCTCCTTCCTCCCTCCCCCACAACACAAATTAATTTCCACAACATATTGTCTTAGAGTTCTCTTGCCTCATGACTATGAACAGGATACCATGAAACGCCTAAAATTCTAGGTAGAATTTTACTTTTACATATATATCTGCATGTTGTGGCTTGAATGGGATCTTAACCACAAAATATTAAGAATAACTATTTTAGGCTAGGCGCGGTGGCTCAAGCCTGTAATCCCAGCACTTTGGGAGGCCGAGGCAGGTGGATCACGAGGTCAAGAGATTGAGACCATCCTGGTCAACACGGTGAAACCCCATCTCTACTAAAGATACAAAAAGTTAGCTGGGCACGGTGTGCCTGTAATCCCAGCTACTCAGGAGGCTGAGGCAGGAGAATTGCCTGAACCCAGGAGGTGGAGGTTGCGGTGAGCCGAGATCGAGCCATTGCACTCCAGCCTGGGTAACAAGAGCGAAACTCCGTCTCAAAAAAAAAAAAAAAAAACAAAGAATAACTATTTTAAGCACTTATATGATTAGTTCTTTTATAGACTAAATGCCTAAACAAATGTCTTTGTGGTTGCCCTGCACCTGTGAGTCGTATATTGATTAGTCTTATTTAAACAATATTTAAAATATCGGACAGTGCTTCCAAATATTTTCTTATAATGTGATTTTCACTGCAAATGCAAGAGGTAAAACAGAAGAAGTAGAATCTTTAGTGATCAAACCGTATGACTAGAGTGTGCTGTTTCTGTTTACTTTTCAAGGTCAGATAAACCTTCGAAGAGAAACGAACCTTTTATTTCAAATTCCAATTTATGTATTAGGACTTAAATGACTTCAAATCATATCTAAAACTCACTCTAAAACTGTTGTAAATTTTTACTTAGATTGAGAATAAAATAAATGTTGAGTATGTTTTCTAATAATATTTGCCATGCAGCATTTGGAAGAAGTTCTGTGACACTTCTACTTTAAGATTTCTGCATGGTTGTTGGCTGATGTCAGGCTGCTCCCTCTGATCACAAGAATTCCCTATTTAGAACTGCTTATGGCTGCCTGTTGGGTAACGTTTCAAGTTGAAAGAATTTTGCATTTTGTGTTATTTTATTGTACTAGAATGAAATAATCTGAGAAATTTTGATGGTTTAGCTCTTTCATATTTTTATATTCCTGACTCTTCTTCATTTGGCTAAGTTTACACTGAAGTCCTTAATTACTCTTCTCCTTTTATGATAAAAATACATCCTTCATTATCTATAATTTCCCAGTGGCTTCCACATGCCAAATGTCAACTAAACGATTTTTCTCTTCTAGTCAGACCACTGGCTTGTGGAAAGGAAGCATTTCATTCGAACTTTCACCAGTAAATGTTGTCGATGTGTGATATCTAGCTCACAGGATAGATGGAACTGCATTCTTACATCTAAACAATTGTCCTCTGATTAAATAAATTCAAATACATCTAAGGAATAGAATAATCATCTGTTTTAAATAAAAATGAGTTAGATGAATCTAACAAGATGCACAACACATTGTGGTATATAATCCCTTATGTGAGGTTTTCTTTCTTTTTTCTTTCTTTTTTTTTTTTTTTTTTTTTTTTTTATGCAGGCTGGAGTGCAATGGCGCGATCTCGGCTCACTGCAACCTCCATCTCCTGGGTTCAAGCCATTCTTTCCTGCCTCAGCCTTCTGACTAGCTGGGATTACAGGTGCCCACCACCCCACCTAGCTTTTTTTTTTTTTTTGTATTTTTAGTAGAGACAGGTTTTCACCATGTTGGCCAGACTGGTCAACAAAGTATTTTTAATAGTATCCACATTTGTGTGGGCACAGTGGCTCATGCCTATAATCCCAGCACTTTGGGAGGCCAAGGCAAGTGGATCACCTGAGTTCAGGAGTTCGAGACCAGCCTGGTCACTGCGGCGAAACCCTGTCTCTACTAAGAATACAAGAAATTAGCCGAACGTGGTGGCTTGTGCCTGTAGTTCCAGCTACTTAGGGGGGTGAGACATGAGAATCACTTGAGCCCAGTAGGTGAAGGTTGCAGTAAGACGACATTGCGCCATTGCACTCCAGCCTGGGTGACTGAGTAAGACTTTGTTTCAAAAAAAAAAAATTGTATCTACATTTTATAAGCAAGGGAACTGAGACAAGAGATGTTTAATTGCATAACTGGTAAGTTACAAAACCAAAATTGGAACCCAGTCAGTCTGGCTCCAGAGACTGGAGTTTATTCTCTCCATGTTGCTGTCTCCAATCTCTTGTATAATTTTGCAGAGACAGTGTCTGCCCTGTTCCAGCTCCACTGTGACTAGGAAAGCAAGTCTGTAATTCTGGTGTTTCAAGAATAAGAAGTCAAACCAGGCACAGTGGCTTGTGCCTGTAACTCCAGCTATGAGGGAGGCTGAAATGGGGGGATCACTTTCCCCAGTAGTTCAAGGCTATGATGCATCACTGCAATTCAGTCTGGATGACAGAATAAGATCCTATCTCTAAAGAAAAAAAATTGTTTCTTGTTTTTTTTATTTTTTGAGATGGAGTCTCTCTCTGTCACCCAGGCTGGAGTACAGTGGCATGATATCGGCTCACTGCAACCTCTGCCCCCTGGGTTCAAGTGATTCTCCTGCCTCCGTCTCACAAGTAGCTGGGATTACAGGCGCCTACCACCATGTCCGGCTAATTTTTGTGTTTTTAGTAGAGGTGGGGTTTCACCATGTTGGCCAAGCTGGTCTTAAACTCCTGACCCCAAGTGATCCACTCACCTTGGCCTCCCAAAGTGCTGGGGCGTGAGCCACCACGCCTGGCCAAAAATTGTTTTTAAAGAATAAGAAGTCAATATGTCTGCAGATGTGAGCCATGCTCTCCAATATTGGTATTTTCAATAGTAATAAAGTGTTTTCATCTCTGTGTTACTCCTTGTCTGTCTCTTAATTGACACAGAACTGAGTTGTATGGGAGCGCTATTAGGCCCTCTTGATCCTTCACCAACTATATATATACACACACACACACACACACCACATACATATATGTATATATATATGGAAAGGATGCTATGACATTATCAGAGTTATGTATCATTGCACACAGGCATGGCTAAGGTTTTTCAATTGTCATCCAAAATTTGTCAATTACCTATTTTTTTATCAGAGACATTAAAAATTCTATCTTTCTTAAGGGCAATGGCCATATCTTGTGTTTGTATGCCTAACATAGTGCTTTGTATATACCATTATGTTGTCTTCTTTGCATTTAAAAAAAAACACCACCCCTCTTCTTTGACCTAATCTAAAAACATCTCCTCCTTGACTACTATATATTAATCACAACACTGACCTTCTTTCTATTCCTAACCTCATTAAATTTATTCCTTTCCTGGAGTTTCTGTCCTTGCCATTCCCTGTGTCTGAAATGCACTTTACATGTCTACTTCTTGTCAATCAGATCTCAGCTTGACTATTACCTCTTTATAACTCCTGTTACTCAATCCATATATGAAATACCCACAGTTAATATCATACACAATGGTAAAAAACTAAAAGATTTTCTTCTAAGAACAAGATCAAGACAAGGATGCCCACTCTCACCAGTTTTATTCAACATCGTACTAGAATTCCTAGACAAAGCAATTAGGCAAGAATAAAAAAATGGCATGCAAACTGGAAAGGAAAAAGTAAAATTATGTCTGCTGGAAGACAACATGACTTATATGTAGGAAACCCTAAACATTACACATACATACATATACAAGCTGTTAGAACTAATAAATGAGTTCAGCAAAGTTGCAAGATACAAAATTAACACATGTGAAAATCAGTTTTTTTATATAAACAGTCCCAAAAGGAAATTAAGAAATCAATTCCATTTACAATAGCATCAAAAATGAAACAGGCCAAAAAGGTCAAAAACTTGTATACCGAAAACTATAAAACATCACTGAAAGAAATTAACGAAGACAAGGAAAAGATATCCTGATGGATGGAAAGACTTAAGATGTCAGTATTACAGTTATGTACACATTCAGTGCAATCCCTATCAAAATTCCAATGGCATTTTTGCAGAAATATAAAAATTTATTCTACAACTTATTATGAATCTCAAGGGACCCTGAATAGTCAAAACAAACTTGAAAAAGAAAAAAAACACTTTCTGATTTCAAAACTTATTACAAAGCTATAGTAATTAAAACAGTTTGCTAGTGGCATAAACATAGATATATAAACCAATAGAACAAAATAATGAATTTAAAAATAAACCTTCACATGTCCAGTGATTTTCAACAAGGGTGCCAAGACATTTTAGTCCCCTCAACAAATGGTACTGGGAAAACTGGATATTCACCTGCAAAAGAATGATGTTGAATCCTTGCCTAACATCATGTATAACACCAACTCAAACAGATCAAAGACCTAAAGTTAAAACCAGAAACTATAAAACGCTTAGAAAACAACAGGGGGAAAGTTTCATGGCATTGGATTTGGCAAGGATTTCCTAGACATGACACCAAAAACATAAAACAGACAGCAAAAGAAAAGAAAAATAGACAAATTAGACTTTATACATTTTTTTTTTTTTTTTTTTTTTTGGAGATAAGAGTCTCTCTTGTCACCCAGGCTAGAGTGCAATGGTGGAATCTTGGCTTACTGCAATCTCTGCCTCCAAGGTTCAAGCGATTCTCCTGCCTCAGCCTCCGGAGTAGCTGGGATTACTCACACCCAGCTAACTTTTGTGTTTTTAGTAGAGATGGGTTTCACCATATTGGCCAGGCTAGTCTCAAACTCCTGACCTCAGTGATCCACCCACCTCAACCTCCCTAAGTGCTGGGATTACAGGCATGAGCCACCGTGCCTGGCCTAAACTTCATAAAAATTTAAAAGTTCTGTACACTGAAAAGAAATAATTATCATAGTGAAAGTGTAACATACAGAATAGGAGAAAATACTTGCAAATTATACATTTGATAAGGGTGTGATTCCAGAAAATACAAAGATCTAGAACTCAACAACAAAAAAACTAACAATTGAATTTAAAAATGGGCAAAGGACTTGAACAAACATTTCTCCAAAGAAGATAATCAAATGGTCAAGAAACACATGAAAAAAGTTTTCAACATCAAGAATCATTAGAGAAATGCTCATTGAAACCACAATGAGATACCATCTCACACCCATAAGGATGGCTGTTATTAAAACAAAACAAAATCCCAGAAAATAACCAGCATTAGTGAGGATGTGGAGAAATGGGAATGCTTGTGCTCTGTTGGTAGGAGTGTATAATGGTTCAACTGCTATGGAAAACAGTATGGTGGTCCCTCAAATAATTGAAACTAGAATTACCATATGATCCAGCAATTCCACTTCTGATATATACATAAATTGAAAGCTGGATCTCTAAGAAGTATTTGTTCACCCATGTTCATAACAGCATTTACACAGCAGCCAAAGTGTGGAAGCAACCCACTTGTCCGTGGATG